GAAAGAGAGAGAGAGATCGCTTCTCGTAAGAGACATCATCAAAAAGTCACATATTTCGCGCTATTGTATAACGGGGTGCATCGGTCTATCACGAGGACGCGCGATGAGAAATCCGCGTGGTTCCGCCGGTCACGCCGCTTCGATCTGTCGACCAATGTTTTAATGTTTAATTTTAATATTTTCGTAAGATGCATAATCTAAGATATTCATAATTATTGTGCGTAAATAGCGTAAATAGGATTCAAATGGAAGTAAGGAATACGACGATGCGATTATGACGACTTAAGCTGCCCTTGCAAAAACAATACAAGAAAAAAACGAAAAAAAAAAAGATAAAGTAGTGGAAGCGCTGCTTATGAGAGTCATTCTGTACATAATATCGTATTCCTGAGGCCGCGGCGCAAATTGAGAAGACGGATTTTTAAGCGATAGACACAGGCTAGACAGATAAATGATAACTGATATAATGATAGTATTAAGACGGTAGTATTTAAGGATGATGAAAGTATATATAAGAGGCAGTGTGATCGCTTAAATTTTCCAAATTGATTCTATCAGACACATCCATGGATAACCCATCTGTGGATTTCACTTATATATCGTTTCTCCGCTATATTCTTTCAAGCTGGCGTATTAAAGGTGACGAGAAATTTTTAATCAAATTGACATATTTTAATTGAAAGTAACTTTTTTACTATAATTGTTTATTACTTTAGAAGAAGAAAAAAGAAGATCGGAGTTACGACAAGTCTTCCGATGGGAGACGAGTGGAATTTAAGTGCAAAATTGCAAGAGAGTTATCAAATTGATTTATACTTCTCAAATTGCGTGATTGCTTATTTCCAAGGGTATACGATATAAATCTCATAAATCTCCCATTACTATGTTATATAGTAACACAGACAGCATACCCTCTCCCTGTACATACATATATGTATGTAATATGTATATGTATGGTATAACGCCTCCTTACATTTTACTTAACAAAGTTTAGCGATAAGTAGAAGTGGGAATATGTGACAACACGTATTACAAATAACGATAATTATATGATCTTACGCTGCACGCTTATGCTATATACGTTAAATTTATGATTATTGAACTATCGATATTTAACAACTAGTTAACAATATAATAGTATTCCTGGGATTTTGTGGGAAATTGGTTATATACTTCGCTTGACATGAAAACTTTAAATAATTATTTTAAGAAGTTTAAAAAGATTTAGATTAAAGGATAGACATTTTTAAATGGGGCAAGATATACAATGGCGTTCTAACAGCAACATATAATAGATTTTAAGGATATAAACTTAGAATATAAGTGTTTAAAGACTTATTCATGAATGCAGGTAAGCAAGAGGAAATGTGCGAGATGGAGTGAATGGGCCAGAATGAGAGATGGTATCGATGAGAAAGCAGATAGAGCGAGTGAAACGTACGAACGGTTATAATGGACTGAATAGAGGGAACGAACATAGAACGAAAAGTAGAGGCAAAATCCAATTGCTTGCTTTCACAAAATGGATCGTGGTATGAAAGTGGAAATATGCGAATCATTTGTTTGCATTTCTCAATACCTGCAGACATGCGTTTTCATTACAATTTTCTTCTTTGCTTCGGTGAACGAACCGAACGTTTTAAGTGCAAGGTAAGTTAGCTATATGCTAATTTACGATACGCAGAATGATTAATCGCGGGATTGAAATAATATATTTAAAGTATGCAGGGCCGTTAATTTTTAAAATCAAAGGGGAACCTTTCTCCGAGTTAGCAAGGAAATCGAGCAAGGGAATACCTAATACATACTGATTAATTGTTGTGATACACAGACATTAGCCAAGGTATTTATATTTAGGTGTTTAGGGTGTGAATAACGATATAATAGTAATTCAGTGCGTATAATACAATAGATTTTAATATTAATACCATAAAGTTTAATATTAAATAAATTTCAATCGCGTACATAAGTAATAACAGTAATAATAATAATAATAAAAATAATATCGCTATATAATAATGATTAAATTAATGAGGAGTCAACCAATCTGAAGTAACTCACAAGAGTCAGTGGAAATGAAAATGAATTATTTGATATATGTATATATATGTATATATATGTATATATATATATATATACATATATGAAGCTCCATATAAAAGGTGCAAAATGCGTACTTGTAAATGTGCGTGCGTAAACTTGTGCGTATATATGGCGTACGTAATTGACTATTAAGACAGAACCGATCGATCGTCGTGATAGAATTGTATGAAACACGCGCTAGGTGCTGCGTGCGGTAATGCACATTCGTACACCGCATTAAAAGTAAACGACGCACGTTGATTGCGCGTAATTTTTAATGCGGCGATAAAATAATAAGAAAATAATATAGGAATTACAATTTTTAAACACTTTAACAACACCGACAGCGTGTAGCCTATCGCTTAACTGTAGTCTAACGCAAGTTAACTTTTAACTCTTTCTAACTCGTTGCCTTTCATTATTCGATACATTTTACACGACACATCGACGCCACATCTACAGACATATAAACATAATATACACATTCGCGAGATGATAAATAAAATAAATTCGATGAAAATGGACTGACTAGCGGATGTAAGATAATAACTAAATTCGCGTTAATTGACAAACAGATACACACATTCACACACACGCGCACATACCCTTGAAACACTTGGTACAAAGAACCGTGGTTGATTGATGATTAAGTAGCTAAACAGAGATGACAGGAAAGTGACAGGGGGTAGGAGAAGAAAAGTATGTCGGTAGGGATGGAGAGAAAGAGAGAAACGTGAATAATTTGTATATCATTCTAATGAAGTGTGAGGCTCACACACGACTTTTATTTTTATTTTGCCTTTTAATTTGTACATATGTATATCGAGTACAATGCATATCATTTAATTTTTCTTTATAACATTGATCCACTTTATAAAAATTTAAAATATACGGGGAAAATGAATTTAAAAATATCAGTTTTTATAAACGCGTCTACGTTGACTTTTTTACGCTTTAATTTTATCCAGCGATTTTTTATATTTAAACAAAATATTTTTATACAAATGAAATGAATAAAAAAAACTAGATAAATCTATAGCTCATAGGATGTTTGCTTTGTGCCGGAGATACTTCAACGTAAAGAAAATGATCGTGGAATGGCAGTGCTTTTTAATATCTGTTTCGCTCGTTGCATTGATAGAAAATAATACCGAAAAGCGAACGTCCTAGAAAAAAAAAAACGTTACTCGACGCATGTCGTATTTGTGATAAAAATGATCCTTTTACAAGTTGTATAACCGAAGTGGAACTTGTGAAAAACAACGATTATTGTATTATTTCGATAGAAAAGAAACTCGAGTTTTTGTCCTCCATGATTTTAATCCCGTTATTTTTTGTCAATCGTAAACAGGAAGAAGGCTTGCATTTACAGCCGGAGCGACAATCAATCGCTTCATATCAATTAGCGACCGTAATGGTACAAATAATCGTATATGGCAGTATTTTAATCCCTCGTTACCCTCGCACGCGATAGTTGTGCATAACATATGTGCAATATCTCGCCGCTATAAGCGCTTATGTAGAATTATATTAATTATTAATTAGAATATATATCGCACTGCCGTTACACCATCATTCCGCACTTTCCGCTTTCTTTTCACGCGAACGATATATATATACATATAGTCTTCGCTTGTGTGTGCCTTCCCTTTTTCGTTTCTTTCGAGCGTTACATAAACTGTAAGATCGATCATTGTACTCCCGCTTGACGTTTTTATAGAGCTTGACCCGCGGCGACTCGAGGCTGTCAGTCTGAAGTGATTTTTTTTTAAGTATCACTGTTACGAGGGATCAATGTCGCAATTGCGCGCTGTTAGACGAGCCCAGGTATTTCCGTGCCGCGTGACGACGGCTTCATCGCTGCGGCCAGTCATCGTTAGAGCGATTTGTCCATTCGATAGAGCCGCGCGTGACAGTCGCGATTCTCTACAGCCGTGATCCCGCGATGCAGCTATGGTCCGTAGGAAGAAAACGAAAAAAAAAAAGTAATATCTGTATCTCTCGGGTTTTTCTGTAACCGGTAACTGTCGTGGTTATACCATACCACTTAGCGTACTGCGGTACAATGGCAACTAGCTAACATCGTACGGCATTAGACGTTACGGAAAGCTGATACGGAAATATCACAATGTCGTACTGCCGTCAGCTTACGTAACGAGGATCTATCGTGGACCATAATTGCGATTCAGGTTGATGGCCGTAGCCAATCGCGGCTGATCATCTCCCGTGGACCGTTGATTCTCCCTCTCAGGCACCGAAAGTTCTCCGTGGCGCATTGGAAATGAGATCCTTCAATTCAGATCATGTCCGTAGGGTGTACTAGGTCAGAAGTAGAGTTCAAAGAGTTCGTTGCGTCTCTCTCTATTGAAAACCACTTGAAAACCAAGTCCTAGTCGGATCCACGGGCATACGCGAACTTCCCGAGCGAACCCGCAATTCAATTATTTCCGAAACATGCCTCTTTATTACGAATAATTATTACGACGAGCAATCTTGGTTTAGTTTTTCGAGAAGATCGGTTGAGATCCGGCAGATTTACTCGCACCAATGATCGCAGTGATCGCACTTCACTTTAGAAAGTGCCGAAAATTTCGATTTCGGGTCGCAATATCGAAATTGCCTCATCTAAAACTTGTCAACTGATTCGTACATGTCGTACGTATATTCGTGTTCGTGCTTCTAGATAATTACGTGTGCCGTCGCGTGAGCGTTGTTTACGCACGAAGCAATGTCAATGGACTGCATTAGGAAACTACTTCCATTATTATTTTAGTCAACTTTGCCCATTGCGTATTGATTATCGTTGTTGCATTTTCGCATCAGGCGATTCCTAGAAATTGAGTCATTAATTTAGTATCGCGTGTATATGTATATGTATAATGGAGCGCCAATGTTCGT